GTCAGATTGTTGGACTCGGACCTGTTCATACTTACCATCCGGGCGCACAAACTGGATGCGGTGGTGCACCGCCTGGTGACGGTACCCAGCCGCCTGCAGGGCGCCGTTATTATAGGCGCCCCATCCGTCTGGCCAGATCTGAAAGGCGGTATTTTGCGTTGTTCTTTGCGTTTTCAATGGCCTGCGCGGGTGTCGAGGTGCCCACAGCATTTTTTAAGCAAAGCAGGATGCTTAAATCCTGACCCCACCATTTTCGTTACTTTGATCCAGTTCATCAGATAACTTCACATCCGGGCGTTTTCAGACATCATCTACCTCACGGGAAAAACAAATGACGAAAAAATCGTAGGTCTGTGGTGGCCTTACAAATAAGTGATGATTACGTCACCAGAAAACGATTATTATTGAACAAATTGAAACCAGAAGTGAAAAGCTATAAAAATTAAACTCATAGCGTTTGTTATCGTGCGGTAGGACATGATTCGTGTACATAACAACATATTGGAGGATCATAATGATGAAATATGTTCATATCGTACCATGCTGCCGGGCACGACGTGCTGCTGCACGATCGGTAGCAGCGTTTGGGTGGTCCGATCAGGGACAACCTGCAGGTGGGCTTCTCCGGCGGAATCCACCATTCCGAACACCCAAACTTCGGATACAGGCCGGGCTCGATGATTCCTTGTGCGCTTGGCCCTGGCTAACAGTGTTTCGTCGATCTGGACGAACCCATTTGGTCCGCCCAGAAGGGCCGGGTGCCGGAGCATGTCAGCAGACATCACCTGCGAACAGACACAAACAGTGCAAGGATTATGTCTGCTCAGAACCAACGGTCAGCATATCCTTGAACGATCGGCTGATACTACCTTGATAAAATTCACCCGCTCAATCACATATGGTCGGCTGTTGTAACAACACGGAGGCGAGATCAGATATTTCAGCGACACACTCAATGAAAAAGCCCCAATGCACAACAACCCGCTTTCTCCGTACATGCAACGTTGTCTAAAGATAGCCATGGAACAAAGCAGTATTTGGGTATATACTTAATAACACATCGCTTAGCGCTGACTATGTTGCGACGACTTGAATCAACGATGTGAACGTTCTCTTATTTGTTGATGAAGTAGAGCATGACATATGCCAACTTTATGTTAGTAAAGTTTTTAAAACTATGCCCCACCTCGCGGAGAAAGTTACTCCAATCCACCACGGCCTTAGGCGACACCTCAGCTTCCTTGGCGACCTGATGAGCTGCCATTCTCTGGGAGGTAAAATATACTATCAAGACAAGCTGACGCAGCTCTAGGTGTGACCCTTCAAAGAACGACCCTTTCCTGATGCTTGCGGTCATTCGGCAGCGCCGGTCCACGCAGCGCCACACAACGCCATCCACTGCCCTCCGTCTGCGGCCCTCCGCCATATCTGCGCCGCACTTCTCACAGACTGCTGCGGCTGCCCGAAGATGCTCATTCCTGTGAAACAGATAAAACGCTGAAGCCTGGAAAGCTGGAAAAGGAGGTTTTTGGTGCCCCTCGCCCAGGAGGTTGATATTGGAATTCGGCAGGATGGAAAGCACGGACGCAGCAAGGATTCATTTCAGGAGGGGTCCGGACCTGGGTGGGTACGCATCACACCGATTTTCGTATGTTCTGCCCGTTACTTATTACGACACAAACGAAAAATCTGGCCGTAAGCAGGGACCAGACCCTCGGACCCTCACCATTTTCTGTACAGCGGTCTTCATTCGTGACGTAAGGGCGGGCTCAGTGTGTGTTGGGAGGAGCGCGGGGGGGGGGGGGGGTGAGGGCACGGGACCATTTGTCATGTCTCTTATGCGGTGGCGCAGGCGGGGGGAGGGGAGGTCACAGGATCCCTTTTAGGTTTCGGGTAACTTGAAAGGCCACTCGGGACAGACAAGAGCCAAATTGGAGGGCCCGAAAGGTCTGAAAGTTCGGCCGGAGGTCTTATTCAGGGGATCTGGCCCGCAGGGCCGGGCTTTTCAATGCTGGCCAGAGGACCTTTACGCCAATCAGGGACATTTGAGGCCATAAGCGCCTTTATGTCAGTGAGGCATCATCAGTACCGCACGGTCGGCGTCATGTCGATATAGACTTAGTGGCCACTTTCCAGCCTCCTAAGCGGCGACGAAGCCGGAGGAGAGAGCGACTTATATTGGTCGGGGTCACTGTATGATATATTAGGATAGATAAATATGTATATATATATATATATATGTATATATATATTTATATACATATGCATATGTGTATACCTATATATGACATTTTCGTCGACCGTTCGCCGCCGCTCAGCAGTAACTACCTGGCCGAATTTGAGCAGCCTATGGAAACTGCAACGCCAAGCGTCCAGGTTTGGTCTTAAGCTTTCATCTTCAAAATTACGTTGCATGATGTTTTCCACTACTTGATTGTGACTGGATGTTGCAGATTTCCAGGCAAACATGAGTTGGCCATGTCGGTGCAAACTGCTTACCCATTTCCACACCGAACAGCTGACCCGCTGTCAGTCTGAGCACGGGGGCCCATTTCCTGAGCAGGAGCAAGGCCGGGGGGCACAACATGCATTGTTCTGCGCCCCTAAACAGTGGATGGGGTCCCTGTGTCGGTCAGGGGCCCAGTGTCTAACAGAGTGTCATGTGTTGGCTAGTGGCCCCGAGAAGGTCACGAACTTTATTTGAAGAGTTCCGAAGAGGGGCCAAAGGGCCCCTCGCCACCAAAGACCAAGGCCCAACTGGGAGGCCGAAGGGCCCGAAGGGTCTCTCGGCCTTAAAGTAGGCCATATTAAGGACCTCCGCCCGTAGGGCCGATCTCAAACGTCAGTAAGAAGTTCTCCTGCATGGATTGGGGACTGTGTTTTCAAGACAGCGGTAGCTAGTCTAACGATTTTCCTTACCTGAGACACGCAATAGCGTCATCAACGGTACGCAAATGCCCGCTCAGACGACAGCAGTTGTCTGGCGCAGGTTGCGCCATATCGATCACAATGTCCGTGCCAGAAATGAACCAGGCCAGGTATGCGTGTACAGGCAGCCAGCAAACACCAACAAGCTGGGCGTGTTTGTTCCAGTTGCAGTTTTCTGCTCCACAAGACGTTCATAATCTGGTACTTGACGTGGTACTTTGTACCGAAATGTGTATACTTATTATCTGCACAACGTGGTTAGACTGTTTTAAAGTAATCTAAAATTAAAGTTATTCAACAAAACATACAAATACGTTAGCATTGTGGTCTAGACTTCTTTTCATTTTCCTCACCTCTTTCCAAGGTCATTTGGCCTCCGCCCGCACAGACAAAGGTGTGGTAGTGGCGCAGGCGGAAATGGGGCACAAGGGGTAGTTGCCCCCCCCCCCCCCCAGCCACACACTCACCATTTAGGCCCTGAAAGACCCGAGAGGCCCTAGTGACCGAATATTTAGGCCCAGATTGAGGATCAAGAGGATGGCCGGCTGGATACCCTTCGCTCGGGTGTGTGTGTGTGGGGGGGGGGGGGGCAAATTGACCACCCTGAGAGCTCGGGAACTAAGAAAGCTAGTGACACCAAATCTTTATGGTGTGCTGATCTGTACGTGACCTCACTTAGATCAAAGTTTCAGAGTCCTAGTTCATGACCTTCGGATCAAATAAGATCAAACAAGGTCAATTTCCAGGTTGGGGTTCTAGGTGCCCCCAGAACTTAGATAACCGTTTCAAAGCAAAAGGTCGCGTGCACATTTCAGATGAGTGGCCTTTGGACAGACAATTCTAGCGGCTGAAACGTACAATGTCCGCCTGTGCTTATTAACGGCCCTAATGGTAACTCGGAGTGAACTCATCCAAATGAAGTTTTGTTCAGGATGACTAGTTCATTGCATCCATGGTAATAACCAAGTCATATGCGTGTTCTTTAAAGAGTGTTACTTGTGGTTCAACTGATGGAAGCCATGTACACACGTTTGAAATAGGCAAATAATGCTGACGGCCGAAACGTCAAGAGTCCGCTTATGCCTACCAGCTGCCCCACTGGTAGCTGAGAATAGACTTACCTGAGTGAAATTTTAATCACGAATGATTTGAAACACCTAGCAGTAGTTTTCAAATGGACCAAAATAAAGGCATGCAGTGAACTTTGAGATTTTGTCGCAGGCGGCCGCAAAGTAAATTGAGAACGTTGGTTAAAAAAGACGGTTTGTCGACTCGCACTGAAACCCGAAAGATAGGAGGAGGGACGCCTCAGAAAGTGAGAGTGCCCGCATTCATATTGAGGCCGATTATTCCATTTATTGTTACAGGGTGGAACTGTACATTCTCAGAAAGTAGGGCTGCGATGGCATCCACGAAACTCCGTCCTCCGTCTGTGACACAAGGGCACATCTTCGTTTATGTCTCTGGCCCAGATATGTGGATTTCTCTGATTTGCGATGTCATCCGTTGTGCTCTAGTTTTCAAACCTACATCTGTTTCATGATATATGCAAACAGCCGCATCCAAACCTCGCTTCAGACTCGCAAGGCGGTTTGGTACTGCGCCGGCCTGAACGTGCGCTGTGGCTAAGTACCTAATAATAAACAATGAGAAAAAGTCTTGTATTAGTGATTGCACCGATGGAAACTATACTCACTCGTTTGAAATGGGCAGATAGTGCTGGCGGCCGATACGTAAAGAGTCCGTTTATGCCTATCACCAGCCTTTTGGGTAAATGAGAGTGGACTCACCTGAACCTCAACGCGTGCAGGAGTTATTTGGAACACATTGCGGTGGTTTCTGAACGCAGCAAAAATGTCGTGCAGTGAAATTGGAGATGTCACAGCAGGCGGCCGGCAGGTAAATTGAAGATCTTGAGCGGGACGATGGCATGTGGACTGGCGCTGCCTGCCGAAACTAAGGCGGAGGAGCAGCAGCTCAGAAAAGACTGTCACCCATACTCAATTCGCATTCGATTCTTCCATTTGTTGCCATGGGGTAAATGGTCAACATTCTTGGACGGCGGGGTGCCATGGAACCCCCGGAACCCACGTTTCTATGACTGGATCCAAAAAGGCACAAGTTAATTCATTTCCCCGTCTCAAATGTGTTCGCTTCTCTCCTATATCATGCGTGACCATTGTGCGGTTTGTTTTAGACAAGTACATGTTTCATGACATGTACATCCAGCTGCATGCAAACATTGTTTCAGACTGGCAGGCGGTAGTGCGTTTACCTCAACGTAAGCTCTTGGTATGTGTCTAATAATACGTGATGGTCCACCGTGGCAATATGGCGAAAAATGCATGCTTAAATTGCTCTCTAAACATTTTTAAAATTACTTCCGCTAGTGATTGTATGAGTTGAAACTACACTGACGTTTGAAGTGGGCACATGATGCTGGCAGCCGAAACGCTAAGAGCCCGATAACTCTATTTACCGGCCCTATGGCTGACTCAGGGTGACCCCAACCGGGTGGCATTCCGTTCAAGAATTATACAGGGGCTTACGGGGGTGATTTTGAGTGCCGCAGTGTTGGCGCGTGGAAGGCGCGCCTCCAGTTCCTCCCGCTTGGACCAGGGACATCGAGGGACCTGGCGCGGAGGCGGCGTGGTATGTAGGCAGACACACATGCATTCGAGCATGTGGGTTAGGGTATGCACATTGGGAGAACAGCGTTCCCCACATGATTACGAGGAGCATCATTAAACTCTGCGAAGCAATGTATTTTTATGTGTTAATTTTTGCGGTCCCTCGTTGAAAAATGAGAAGCACGTTTAATTGAATCTACCCTTTAAACATGTTGTGGTATATATATATATATATATATATATATATATATATATATACATATGTATCCAGCCATTGTGCTATTTTTGACGACAGAGACGAATCTCGCAAAATTTGCATGCTACCTTGGCTGCACGTTGGTGAGATACGGGTTGGAGTGGTGGACCTGACTGGCGGAAATGGCGTTGTCATGTTGTTTCGGATCTACCACGGACCACACATGCGCATCTGCATGTTTTGGTCGGGTTGAAATTGGCTACTAGTGCTGTCGACCGTAACGTTAATGGTCCGTTTATGCCGATCAGCGCCCCCAATGGTACTCAGAGTGCGCCCACATTAATGAAATTCGATTCAGTAATGGTTAGTTCACTATCTCCATAATAGCGAAATTTCATGCATATGCTTAAAATATTGTTTGCTAGTGATTGCACCGATTGAAACCATACCGACATGTTTGAAATGGGCAGATACTTCTGGCGGCCGAAACGTGAAGTTTGCTTATACCTGTCAGTGGTAACTTTTTAATTCCCTATTGGTAACTCGGAATGGACTCAGCATAATTGCATGTTGATCAGAAATCACCTGGAAGACAGCTGAGAGCAGTTTTCTTCACGCAGAAAAGTTGTGCCATGCAGTGAAGGTGGGGACTTCATAGCAGGCGGCAGGAAGGAAAATTGAGGCGCTGGGCTGGAAAGGTTGTAAAAACTGTCAC